GCGTGCCACGGTGCCCAGCTAATTAATTTTTTTTTTTTTAGAGCTGCAGTCTCCCTATGTTGCTCAGGCTGGTCTCATCCTCCTGGCCTCAAGCTATGACCACACCTCGGCCTCCCAAAGTGCTGGGATTACAGATGTGAGCCACCGTGTGGGTCCGGAGATTTATTGTATTGATAAATTACAGATATAGCCTCTTCGTCAAACTGTTGTGTAGCCGGGCGCGGTGGCTCAAGCCTGTAATCCCAGCACTTTGGGAGGCCGAGGAGGGTGGATCACGAGGTCAAGAGATCGAGACCATCCTGGTCAACATGGTGAAACCCCGTCTCTACTAAAAATACAAAAAATTAGCTGGGCATGGTGGTGCGTGCCTGTAATCCCAGCTACTCAGGAGGCTGAGGCAGGAGAATTGCCTGAACCCAGGAGGCGGAGGTTGCGGTGAGCCGAGATCGCGCCATTGCACTCCAGCCTGGGTAACATGAGTGAAACTCCGTCTCAAAAAAAACAAAACAAAACAAAACAAAAAACAAACTGTTGTGTAATATTCTTTTTACGAACGTATTTGTTTTCAACAGCTGCCATAACATTACCAGATACTGGGTGACTTAAAGCAACACGATGCCTCACAGTTCTTGAGGCCAGGAGTCCAAAACTCCAAGTGTCAGCAGGGCTCTGATCTTTCTGAAACCTGTAGAGGGGAACCCTTCCTTTCCCCTTCCAGCATCTGGTGGGGGCCGGCAATCCTTAGCTTGCAGATGCATCCTTCCCATCTCCACCTCCATCTTTGCACAGCCCTCTCTTCTGTGTGTCTGTGTGTCTTTGTCCACATTATCCCCTTCTTAGAAGGACACCAGTCATTGGATTTATGGTCTACCCTACTCCAATATGACCTTGTCTTAACTCCATGATATCTGCAAGGCCCTGTGTCCAGTTAAGGCCACATGCACAGGAGGTGGGGGATAGGACTTAAACATATATTTTGGGGGAACACAATTCAACCCATATCAATCAATAAATTGCAGTTTATTCATTCTCCTGTCGGTGGTCAGTTAGATTGCTTCCAGGTGTTGTCATCACATTGGTGCCAAGAACATTTTTCCATAACCACTGCATGTAACTGTGTGTGCACGTGCAAATTTCTCTCTCTTTTTTCTTTTTTTGTTGCGGGGGGGATAGGGTCTCACTCTAACACCAAGGCTGGAGTGCATTGGTGCAGTCTTGGCCTCCTGGGCTCAAGCAATCCTCCCACCTCAGCCTCCTGAGTAGCTGGAACCATAGGTGCACACACCATGCCTGGCTAATTTTTCCTTTCTTTTTGAAGAGATGGGTTTTACCATGTTGCCCAGGATGGTCTTGAACTCCTGCGCTCAAGTTATCTGAGCCCTTGGCCTCCCAACGTGCTGGGATTACAGGCGTGAGCCACCACGTCCCACATGTGATGTGAATTTCTCTAAGGAAACATTAGTGGTGGGATATCTGGGGTGCAGGATGTCTCTAACTCTGCTGGACTTTGCCAGACCGCTTCCAGGGTTTCTATCAGTTCACACTCGCTCCCATTTCCCTACAAATGCACCATTATCTCTGTGTATTAACAGACTTTTGTCATTCTGCAAGATGGAAAATAGTATTTCATTATTGTTCTTATTATAATTTCCTTAAGTACAGTGAGGTTGAATATCTCTTGATATGTTTATGGGCCATTCAGGTGTACTTTTTTGTGAATTGCTCATTCGTGTGAATTTTTCTATTGGGTTGTCTTTTTCTTCGTTATTTATAAGAATTCTTTATATATTCTATCTAGATACTAAGTCCTCTGTTCCTAAAATAATATCCTCTCCTAGTCTATCTTGTTTTCTTGCTTTGTTTATGGAGACTTTTATTTTAATATTAATGTTAATCATTATCTTATTAATCTTATCTTATTAATCTGATTTTTATAGCTTTTTGTCATGGAAAATCTCAAGCATATATAAGAGAGATTAGCACACAGGACATTCCAGCTGCACCACTGTCAGCACGTGGACACCTCGTCCACCCTACCCCATATCGGGCTATTTTGGGTTTTTATTTATATGTGTTTTGAGATGGACTCTTGCTCTGTTGCCCAGGCTGGAGTGCAGTGGCGCTGTCTCATCTCATTACATCTTTTTCCTCCTGGATTCAAGCGATTCTCATGCCTCAGCCTCCCCAGTAGCTGGGATTACAGGTGCTCACCACTATGCCCAGCTAATTTTTATATTTTTAGTAGAAGCGGGGTTTCACCATGTTGGCCAGGCTGGTCTCAAACTCGTGACTTCAGGTGATCCACCTGCCTCGGCCTCCCAAAGTGCTGAGATTACATGTGTGAGCCACCGCATCCGGCCCAAATTGGGTATTTTGAAGTAAATCCCAGACCTCCGGTCATGTCATCTGTGCGAATATCATGCTGCATCTATGAGAGACAGGAGCTCCAAAAACATGGCTGCAATACCATTATCCTTCCCTGCCAGAATTCACAATAATTTGCAATATCATCAGATATCCACTTAGTATTCATTTTTCTGCAGTTGTCTTTCCTTTTTTTTTTTTTTTAACAATTGGTTACAGTGAAATGGGATTTATAATCCTTTTCCTTATGGTTGATTTTTTTTGGGTCAAATTTAAGAAATTCTGCCGTATTCCAAAGTAGGAGAAAAAAGTATTCTGTATGTCCCCCTAATAGCTGAATTTCGCCTTTCCTACTTAGATGTCTGCCATCTGATGTGCTCGTGTTCTGGGGTAGGTGGGGATCCACGGTGATTGGCTTTCTTACCTGGGTAGCTCAGTGCCGCAGCGTCGCCCCTTGGATGGCCAGTCCCTTTTCCCCCCACGGCTCCCTCCTGCCCCTTCCCGTGACTGCAGAACCCCGGTCCCTCTCTCTTGGCCTGCTCTGTGCCTGCCCCCGCTGCTGGACCTGGCTGGAGGAAACAGCATACATCTCCCGACCACAGTCCTTCTCCCTGGTCGTCTTTCCCCCTCCCCCGTTCTCCTGCTTCTGCTCTCCCCAGCCCTCCTCCCGCCTCTCACCCTGAGCTGCTGACTCTGCTTCTCAGTTCTGTGAGCGAGCAGATGTCAGTAGGGGGCATCCACAGCCTCCCGCCGCACACCCGCCCACCACCTGCGTCTGCGGCCTCCCTGGGGCGCGTGAGGTCTGTCTGCGCTGCCGAGGAAGGGGCTCCCCCACTGCGCGCCAGACCCTTACCAGACCCCCCGCACCCCCCCCTCCCCGTACCCCCCGCACTCTCCGCTTCCCTGTCTCCCCGGGCGGTGATTGTGTCTTCTTTGTTTTCCTCTTTATGGCGTCATTCTCATCCACCCAAATAGGCTGAGATTTCTTCCATTAAAACAAAACAAAAAAAAGACTCATCAGTGTATCTTTTCTGTCTTTTGCATCTTTTGCACAGTCTCTTTGCTCCTTTATTTATTTATTAATTTATTTTTTGAGACGGAGTTTCGCTCTTGTTACCCAGGCTGGAGTGCAATGGCACGATCTCGGCTCACCGCAACCTCCGCCTCCCGGGTTCAGGCAATTCTCCTGCCTCAGCCTCCTGAGTAGCTGGGATTACAGGCACGCGCCACCATGCCCAGCTGATTGTTTGTATTTTTAGTAGAGACGGGGTTTCACCACGTTGACCAGGATGGTCTCGATCTCTTGACCTCGTGATCCACCCTCCTCGGCCTCCCAAAGTGCTGGGATTACAGGCGTGAGCCACCGGACCTGGCCATGTATATATATTTTAAAGGAGTTGATTGTGGTGGTGCTTTCCATAGTCCCAGCTATTTGGGAGGCTAAGGTGGGAGGATTACTTGAGCCCAGGGAGGAGGTCGAGGCTGTAGCTGTAGTGAGCTGTGTTTGTGCCACTGCACTCCAGCCTGGGCGACAGAGCCAGATCCCGTCTCAAAAAACAAAACAAAACAAATCCAAGTTGAGAATCTGTTTCAGCTAGTGAGTTCAGTCTGTTTACATTTATTTAAGTTTCGGCAGGTCTGAGGGTAGGCTGTGAGTTATCTCAGCTGATTTTTCAGTCATTTACGAATCAAACTCCTCGTTCGACTCTGTACCCACTTTCACGGGATCAACAGATGCTTTTTAATGAACAGGTTTTTAATTTTCTAATTCCTTTTTCTATTTTGATTCACCAAGTGTTTTTTGGTGAGTTTCAAGCCCCATTCCCACCGGCCATTCCTCCCAGTTGTCGTGTCTGCCTGTTCTTGTTAATTCGGATCGCCTCCTTGTGTGTAGTTTTTATAACGGGCTCCTCTTCAGCGGGGTGTATTTCTGGCCTCGACGGTGGGAGTCTCGTGGTAAAGTGGATTTGCACTGGCCTCTGCCAGGTGTTCCAGGCGTTCCGCTGGCCCAGAGTCACTTGTATTCACTTCTCAGCCAGGTGTTCCTACTTTGCAAGCATGGTGTACACGTGGGAACTGCTTTCTTTTTTCCCTTCCACTCAGAATCCAGACGGAGACGAGCTTCTTTGCACATCCAGGAGCCTGGGGGATAGAGCTCTTTCGTTTTGCTTTGGCTGCATTACCTGAGACATGAACCTTTGGGGGCTCAACATTGCAGATGTGGCCTTCACGTGCTTCCAAGGCTCCTTCTACACGTCGACACAAAATCCTAAGCACCCGATTGTTGGGTGCTCCTGGGGCGGGCCCTGTCCCCCAGCATCACTGGGCCTGTCAGTGTCTGTGGGTTCAACCTCACCCTGGCTTTCAGTTTCCTCTCCAGTCCCGGCCCTGGGGAGTCCCTTTTCCCTACTAGTTCTTTCATCTCTTCTTTTTGTTGTTATTCAGTCTGCCATTTCTAGTGTCTGTAGCCTTCATCTGCAGTGTTGCCAGGACCAGAAGTTACCACTGAATTCTTACCTAATACCATAGATGTAGTTAAAATGCATTTTTTCTATAATCTTGATGTGAGGTTTACTTACCATTTATGACGTTTAGATTTGCACCATTCAGAATATGACACGTTTCTCTCTCCATAGCCCTACTTAAATCTCTGCAATGGCTAACGAAGCTTATCCTTGTCCGTGTGACATTGGCCACAGACTTGAGTATGGAGGGATGGGCCATGAAGTTCAAGTCGAGCACATCAAGGCATATGTCACCAAATCCCCTGTTGATGCAGGCAAAGCTGTGATTGTCATTCAAGATATATTTGGCTGGCAGTTGCCCAATACCAGATATATGGCTGACCTGATCTCAGGAAATGGATACACGTATGTACAAAGTTCTGTTTCTTTGTTTAAATTCATATACGTTTTCATGGTTTATTTTGTTCCCTTTAAAAAAAAAAAAAGAAAAAAAACTGCCAGGCACAGTGGCTCAGGCCTGTAATCCCAGCATTTTGGGAGGATGAAGTGGGCAGATCACTGGAGGTCAGGAGTTCGACACCAGCCTGACCAACATGGTTGTAAGGTTTATTGCCGATGTAGAATGAGGAAACTGAGGCAAGTATGAGAAAATGAGAAGCCAATTTATTCAGCTCCCGGGTGAGGTTCTGTAGTCCAGGAAGGGGCCAGAGAAGTTGCCCCTGGCTGTTTAGGTCATGGGGTTTTATGGGAAGGAAAGGCGATTGATTGGCTATTGGGGAAACAAAGCAAAGGCAATTTTATTGGCTGCCAGGAAGCAGGAAGTGCCTGAAACTAGTTGCTATTGGTAGGCAGGCGGGACTCTGGGTAAGTGGGTCTTGATTGGCTGTTGGGGAAACAAAGTGAAGGCAATCTTATTGGCTATTAAGAAGCAGGAAATGCCTGGAGCTAGTGGTTATGGGTAGGCCCGCGGGACCTTGGGTAAGCAGGCCTTCTGGGGGCATACAGAGCAGACTGCTCCCAGGCAGGGTCTGATGGGGCTTCTTTAAAAAATTTTCCTGCAGGGTTTATTAACAGCGGGCTGGGGGTTAAATGCGTAATTTAGTGCTGAATGTGGGCTTGGGTCTGGCATGCGGAGGCGGGTGCGGAGAAGCCGTGTGGCAAGGCCAGATAATGAGCTCGGGTAATGACCTAGTTATCAGACGCAGAGAGAGATGGATGAGTCCGTTTAACCCTCTGCGAGGCAGCCGGCCTTGCAATGGTGAAACCCTGTCTCTACTAAAAATACAAAAATTGCCAGGCTTGGTGGTGCGTGCCTGTAATCCTAGCTACCCAGGAGGCTGAGGCAGGAGAATTGCTTGAATCTGGGAAGCAGGGGTTGTAGTGAGCCGAGAACACACCATTGTACTCCAGTTTGGGTGACAAAAGCAACACTCTATCTCAAAAACCAATAAACTCTAAAAAAACAAAACAGCAGTCTGACTATGCAGTATTTACATTAGACACTTCCTTATCTCACTGTGGTGAAGGTAAATGGGAAATGTCATGTGAAATTAAACAACCTCCTGTGCTGCTAACCCAACTCTGGCTTCTTGTCCTCCTGGGCATACCTGTCCTCTAGACTTGCTGGACACTGAGAATTCTTTCCCTGTGTGGGGCTCTGGCCAAACCCAGGCACTGGACTCCTTGGGCAGACCTCACTGGCTCCGAAATGGACCCATCACTTGGCCCTTCAAGCAGCTCAGCCTCGGGTCAGATTTCACAGGCCCATTTGGACAACAGAGCGTCCACGGATCCACCTGGTCCACACACGTACCACCATGGCCCCATCAGAATTAGACTGGGGTTCAGAAGTGGCACAGTGAGACCTTGCTCCCCTCCCAAAGTGTACCTCTTTGTCTGGCAACCCCCGATTGCATCTTATTTGCCCCTGGCATAAAGCACAGAGGAGAGCCAGCACCCTTCCTTCCTCTCTAGTGTCGGAAAGCATCAACCCAGCAAGCCCTGAGCTTGGTGCAGGGCTGGATTCCTTTGTTTTCACAGAAAGAGAAGCTGGAGACTCCGAGGGTGAGCCTATGTCGTGTTTTTCTAGGAGGAGAAACTGGCTTCAAGGAATCACGCCTGCCCTGACGGGACGCAGACTCAGTGCTGAAAGAAAAGACCTTCCTTCAAGTTTTCCTTTTTCATGTCCCCAGATGAGGGGACTTAACTTTCTAGGGGCAAGCCCAGTAATTAAAAAAAAAAAAAAAATAGCTAGCCTCTTGCTCCGCCGGAGCCAGTGCTAAGGGCATGACTGGGATCGTTGCCCTTAATCCTCGGGCAGCCCCTTGAGGGCGGAGCTGCTGTTGCTCTCATTTTGCAGATTAGGAAACCAGGCCATAAAGAGAGCTGGGACATTGCGCCAGATCACACTGCCCGAGCAGCCGATCAAATGGCATTTCTGTTCCTGCTATTCACGGTGGGTCCTTTAGCAGTACTCAGGACGTGAACGATGAGGAAACATACCTTTTTTACAAAGCACTTTCACGTGTATATAAGTCTTTTTGCCCTCCAGAGCCTCCTCTGAGGTTTGGCAGTGCAAGGGTGCTGTTTGTCAGATAAGAAAATGAGGCTGGAAGTGGTGGCATGACCCGTTAGGGCCACATGGCAGCGTGCGGTGTACTGAGCCTCCAACTTGGATTTTCTCACTCAAGTTTCAGTGTTCTTTCTACCCCTACAGGAGGAGCCCTGTTCCTCCAACCAGGTGGCATTCTATTTTAGGAAACAGGACTCAACCCAAGAGGCCGGCTCCATCCCTCTGGGTTGGCTTGCGTGGAAGAGCGACCTGGACTGGGGCCAGGCGTGTTTGCTGTCTGCTGCCCGTCTTAGGATCGTACCCTCTGGAGAGGAGACTGTGCTTCGTTGGCGTCTTGGGCGGAGGCTGGGAAAATTGCTTGGTCATAGTGACTGGACACGTTAGCCAGGTGTGCCCTCTGGCCTGAGGCTCGGGTGAAAGGCCAGGAGTCCCCCACGCTGGCTGAGAGGGGCAGGAGGGGCCCTCAAAGCCACCCGCCTCAGGCCCCTTCCCCCGGTGCCCCCAGCCTATCCCACGGGGGTGTGCCCTGTGGATGGCCTCATCATTTGCAGGGCCGGGTTACCAACTGGCTGCCAGACGCTGTGCACCTGCGGTTGTGAAACCTAAGATGGCCTGGCCTGGTGCCAGGTGGCTGCTTTGCTGTGATCAAAGTTGGCCTTCACAGCCACTACTTTTCCTTTTCTCTGAGCCAGACTTGCCAACTTAGCAAGTTTTTAAATAAATGCAAGCAAAATACTGAGTCAAGCAACTCTGAAACTAAGCTCAATTCATGTCCATATTTTGCAGAACCATTGTACCAGACTTCTTTGTAGGGCAAGAGCCTTGGGATCCCTCTGGCGACTGGTCCATCTTCCCTGAGTGGCTGAAAACGAGAAATGCCCGGAAGATCGATAGGTGAGTTATCCACAGACGTGGCCTTTTGTGTGGCATGCGCCAGGAGGAGAGAGCCACGCGGTCTCCACCTTTCAGACTCTACTCCCTCCCTCAGGGTAGGACTTCTCCACAGCCAATGGAATCCTTCCCATGGCACAAAGGGGAAAATTTTTTTTTTTTTTTTTGGAGGCGGGGTCTCATTCTGTCATCCAGGCTGGAGTGCAATGGCACGATCTTGGTTCACTGGAACCTCCGCCTCCCAAGTTCAAGCAATTCTCCTGCCTCAGCCTCCCAAGTAGCTGGGATTACAGGTGTATGCCACCATGCCTGGCTAATTTTTGTATTTTTAGTAGAGACGAGGTTCCACCATGTTGGCCAGGCTGGTCTCGAACTCCTGAACTCAGGTGATCCACCTGCCTCAGCCTCCCCAAAGTGCTGGGGATTACAGGCATAAGCCACTGCACCTGGCTTAAATTTTTTTTTAAATTAAAAAACATTTTTTTTTTTAATTAAAATTTTTAGGCCGGGCTTGGTGGCTCACACCAGTAATCCCAGCACTTTGGCAGCCTGGGCTGGCTGATAACTTGAGATCAGGAGTTCAAGACCAGCCTGGCCAACATGGTGAAACCCCATCTCTACTAAAAATACAGAAAAAAAAAACCTGGGTGTCATGATGCATGCCTGTAATCCCAGCTACTCCAGAGGCTGAGGCAGGAGAATTTCTTGAACCTAGGAGGCAGAAGTTGCAATTAGCTGAGATCTTACCACTGCACTGTAGCCTGGGGGACAGAGCAAGACTCTGTCTCTAAAAAAAAAGAATTAATTAAAAATGTAAAAATAAAATAGAGATGGTGTCTGTCTATAGGCATGAACCTCACACCCAGCCGGGATAGCATTCTTTATGTGATGATGATCAATATCAAACAATATTTTATGAGCACCATCTATGAAAAGAGAGATTTTAGTCCATCTGACACCTGAGTAGTGTACATTTTACCCACCGTGTAGTTCTTTAGTCCTCACCCCCTCCTAACCTCCCCATTCTGAGTCTCCATAGTCCATATATCAGTCTGTGTGCCTTTGTGAACCTACTCATAGGTTAGCTCCCACTTATAAGTGAGAACAGGGAGTATTTGGTTTTCCATTCCTGAGTTATTTCACTCAGAATAATGGCCTCCAGCTCCATCCAAGTTGCTGCAAAAGACTATTATTTTGTTCTTTCTTATGGCTAATAGTCCATGGAGTATATACACTGCACTTTCTTTACCCCCTCATTGGTCATTGGGCACTTAGGTTGCATATCTTTGCAACTGTGAATTGTGCTGCAATAAACGTACGTATGCAGCCCACCTGTACTTGGTTCATTGCTTCTAGTTGAAAATGTGTTCTGAGTTCCAAACAATCAGTTTGCAGATGAATCATCTGTCAGACAAGGGCCACTATTCTTGGTCCCCTCATGGTTGAAATAGTCCTTCCAAATTTGGCTGCACTCTTTGGGTGTGGGAGGAGACAAGCAATGCAGAGTGGGGAGTTTTGGGGAGAGAGTGAACATGTGAAGTCAGAGAGTGTCTGGGCATCTGCCTGTAGTTATGGCTGGTAATGGGAGGGAGGAGAGAGGAGACCCTTCTGGGAGACTCAGGGGACAGAGGAGACTGGGGCCCTCTGTAGGGAGCAGATCGTGGACTCAGGCCTTGCGAGCCGTGCTGCAGACTGTGGCCTTCATCCCGAGGCTGTGGAAGACTGCTCAGCTCTCAGCTGGGAGTGAGCTGGTTGGATCTGTGTTTTGGGAAGAGTGCAGCATGCCTGCAGCTGTCAGGCAGTTGGAGGGGGCTGGGCTTGGCAGGGAGACTTGTGGGCATGATGCAACAGTTGGGTGGGAGCTAGTGAGGATGGAGCTCCCAAAAGAAGAATCCTTAACAACTTCAAAAACAGTTGCCGATACAGCCCTGATATCAGCACAGCCTTTGAGGGGTTCACAGAATAACCCTGATTCTTGAATGCTTTTTCTTTCTGTTCTAGAGAGATCAATGCTGTCTTGAAGTATCTGAAACAACAGTGTCACGCCCAGAAAATTGGCCTCGTGGGATTCTGCTGGGGTGGAACTGCTGTCCATCATTTGATGATGAAATACTCAGAATTCAGGGCAGGGGTGTCCGTCTATGGTAAATCTGCCTTGCCCATTTTTCCTGCATGCAAAAGGGAGGCGTGGAAGAGTGACAGCAATCATAAGCCTCCCCATCCACAACCCCCAATAATGCGGAGACTGCCCATCTTACGGAAATGGGCCTTAAGAATCTGAAAATAGAGGTGGAGGTTTGTCATGCAGTTAACCAGAGGATGTCACTGGGAGTGAAGAAGGCTGGGTCCCAATGGTGTGACCTTGGGAAAGCCACCTAACCTGAGCTCACCATTTCTTCACCTAGGATGAAGGGGATAGCATTGTTTTTAACGTAATGATGATCAATGTCATTACATCACGTAAGATTTGTATGAGTGACATCTATGAAAATATTTTTCTGGCAGTGGCTAATGCCTGTAATCCCAGCACTTTGGGAGGCTGAGGCGGGCAGATCACTTGAGCTCAGGGGTTGGAGACCAGCCTGGGCAACATGGCAAAACCCCGTCTCTACAAAAAAACAAAACTTAGCTTGGCGTGGTTGCATGGACCTGTAATTCTAGCTACTCAGGAGGCTGAGGTGGGAGGATCACTTGATCCCAAGGAGGTGGAGACTGCAGTGAGCCGTGATCACGCAACTGCACTCCAGTCTGAGTGACAGAGCATGACCCTGTCTCAAAAAAATAAAAAATAAAAAGAAAGAAAAAGATTTTCCCAAGATACAAATTGTTCTAACTGTACACAAACATGCACACACACTAAAGACAGAAAGGCAGCCAGGCACGGTGGCTCACGCCTGTAATCCTAGCACTTTGGGAGTCCAAGACAGGCAGATAGCTTGAGCCCAGGAGTTCGAGATCAGCCTGGGCAACATAGAGAGACCTTGTCGCTATAAAAAATTTTTAAATTACTTGGGTGTGCTGGCATGTGCCTGTGGTCCCAGTCTCTCAGGAGGCTGAGGCAGGAGGATCACTTGAGCCCAGAGGTTAGAGGCTGCACTGAGCTGTGAATGCACGACTGCACCCCAACCTGGGTGACAGGGAGTGAGACCTTGTCTCTTTAAAAAAAAAAAGAAGAAGAAAGGAAAGGAAAACACACTGTGAAATGTAAATAGCAACTTACATATTTTTGGCCAAAACAAGCCAAAGTTTCATAGCAATGAAATGGCATTATATCTGTATGTAGAAACTGCTTGCTAAATTCATGATATAGAAGTATTCAGACCAATATATATACAAAAACAAAAAAGACACATAGGAAGTACAGCCTTTGAAAATAATGCAGATGCTTCTCTACTTACAGTGGGACTAAGTCCTGATAAACTCATCCTAAATTGAAAATATCCCGTTGAAAATGCATTTAATCCACCTCACCTACTGAACTTCATAGCCTCACTTGGCCCCCCTAAACACCACCATCAGCCTCCAGCTGAGCAAAATTGCCTAACACAAGGCCTGTTTTATAATAGAGTGTTGAATAGCTCATGCAGTTTATTGAATTCTGTACTGAAAGTGAAAAACAATGGTTGTATGGGTACGTGGAACCGTTAATGTTCCTCACTGTGGTATTTTCGACCACTTTTAGCAGGGAAAAAAAAAACCCCTCAAATATTGACTTAGGACGACGCAAAAGGACAGAAACTTAAGGCAGTGGCCGGCTGCCTCTGGGAACAATGGAGCTGACAGATGCTTTGTCCAGACCGTGCTTTTGCGCGATTTAGCAAAAGGCGGTCAGGAGTGGCTGCCTCCCCAGCGCCACCTCCTGGCCGCTGTTGTGCAGTGCGTGAGCTGGGGAGCGTGGCCGGGCTCAGGCCCAGGGACATCAAAAGGGATCCAGCCATATGAAGTGACTGCCAGAGTGGGGAAGGAGCGCGGCCACCTTTTCCGAGGGTCCCTGCTTCCTAAAGAGTAGTTACAGGTGAAGGAGGCTCTCTCTGTTACTTAGCTTTTCTGTGCTGCCAGCAGGAAGTGGGGAAAAAAGTTATTTATTTACTTCTTCTCATCTTAAAATGGTAACTTACTGCAAAATTTTCACATTCTTATTTTCCCATAGAAGTGGACACACCCACAGGTTGTTTTCAGACAGCCTGGGTCAGGCAGAGCGTGCTTCTAATTTCAGAATTAATCTCGAATGCTGACGTGAAAGATGAAAACTAATTATTATTATTTTGGGACAGCATCTTGGTCTGTCAGCAGGCTGGAGTGCAGTGGCACAATCTTGGCTCACTGTAACCTCTGCCTCCTGGGTCCAAGCAATTCTCCTGCCTCAGCCTTCTGAGTAGCTGTGGCTACCAAACCCAGCTAATTTTGTATTTTTAGTAGAGACAGGATTTTGCATTGGTGGCCAGGCTGGTCTCGAACTCTTGACCTCAAGTGATCCACCTGCTTTGGCCTCCCAAAGTGCTAGGATTACAGGTGTGAGCCACTATGCCCGGCCAAAAACTGATTTTTATACACTGACCTGTGAGGTCCAGTCTGTTTCACACTTCCACACTCGTGGTCTAGTTCGAGTCTAAATACCCATTGAAATGACCGCGCTTCTCTTACAAACGAAACTACTCAGAGCATTCAAACCAGAATCTGTGGGGCTTGTGCAGGCCTGAGAAACTTCTCGAAAGAGAGTTTGAAAGTGATCACCTCTTAGTAAATGAAGGCACTTCCCAGAGGGAGCATTCCTCAGGCTGCCCCGGCATCTTCCCATACTCAGCAGTGGATAAGGTCTCATTCAATTATTTAATGGCCTGATTTTTAGTGCATAAAGTGGGGAGGTGGAGAGTAGGAAGATCTGACTAAATAAATTTCTCTTGTACTCTTACAATCTTTTTGGATTTCTTTTAAAGACAGGGTCTCACCTTGTCACCCAGGCTGGAGTGCAGTGGCACAAACATGGCTCAAGCAGCCTCAACTTCGCAGGTGCAAGTGATCCGCCCACCTTAGTCCCCCAGGTAGCTGAGACTACAGGCACACACCACCATGCTCGGCTTATTTTTCTTTTTTTTTTTTTTTTTGTAGAGACAGGGTTTCGTGATGTTACCTGGGCAGGTCACAAACTCCTGAGCCTAAGCCATCCACCTGCCTCCGCCTCCCAAAGTGCTGGGATTACAGGCCTGAGCCACTGCGCCCGGCCTTCTTTTACGCTAATCTTACAGGTCAAGCCACTTTTGTGGAATGGCTAAAAAAGAAAATAAAGCCCCCAAAGCAGAGATTTTACTTTGAAAAATGAAACCCAGTTTTCTGTGGCATGAGTGTGGGGAACCTGCATCACGCTTCTGTGCTCGTTTTTCAGGCATCGTCAAGGATTCTGAAGACATTTACAATTTAAAGAACCCCACCTTGTTCATTTTTGCTGAAAATGATGCTGTGATTCCACTGGAGAATGTAAGTTGGCATCTTTTCTCTTCTTAGTTATTTATTCTGAGAAGGAGACTGTCTCTCTCGCTCAGGCTGGAGTGCAGTGGCGCGATCTCGGCTCACTGCAACCTCTGTCTCCCAGTTTCAAGCAATTCTCCTGCCTCAGCTTCCTGAGTATCTGGTATGCGCCACCACGCCTGGCTAATTTTTGTATTTTTAATAGAGACGGGGTTTCACCGTGTGAAACCAGGCTAGGCAGTCTATCTAGATCCCCACTCCACAAAAACATAAAAAAATTAGCTGGCATGGTGGCACACACCTTGTAGTCTCAGCTATTTGGGACCCTGAAGCAGGAAGATTGCTTGAGCACAGGCGTTGTGAGGCTGCAGTGAGCCACGATTGTGCCACTGAACTCCAGCCTGGGTGACAGAGTGACACCCTGACTCTAAGAAAAAAAAGTAGTCATTTAGAAATTATTGTTAAAATAGTAACCAATAGATTAATGCAAGTGATTCAAATAACAGATGTATCATTTTCACATTGCTCTGAAATCTCTCCTTTGCCAGACATAAGAACTGTGTTCATTATGAAATCAGCAGTAAAAGTTGGGCGCAGTGACTCATGCCTGTAATCCCAGCACTTTGGGAGGCTGAGGCAGGTGGATCACTTGAGGTCAGGAGTTTGAGACCAGCCTGGTCAACATGGTGAAAGCCCGTCTCCACTAAAAATACAAAAATTAGCCAGGTGCAGTGGCGGGTGCCTGTCATCCCTGCTACTCCGGAGGCTGAGGCAGGAGAATTGCTTGATCTTGGCAGGTGGAGGTTGCAGTGAGCCAAGATGGTGCCACTAAACTCCAGCCTGGGCAACAGAGCGAGACCCTGTCTTAAAAAAAAAAAAATAGCAGGAAAGAATTCAGTATAACTGTGGAACTTGTTTCTAACGTAAAGCGTCCATGTGAAATCTCTGTTATGAATGCTCACTGAAGATGTGGAGAATGGAAAGTATTACTAAAGGGTTAAAATCATGAAATCTTTTGCATACCAGGTATCCCTGCTGACCCAGAAGCTGAAAGAACACTGCAAAGTTGAATATCAAATTAAGACATTTTCCGGGCAGACTCACGGGTTCGTGCATCGGAAGAGAGAAGACTGTTCACCTGCAGACAAGCCCTACATTGACGAGGCCAGAAGGAATTTAATCGAGTGGCTGAACAAGTACATGTAGCAAGAATCAAGGGCAAGCTTTCCCCGAAGAGCTTTCTTCCCAACTTTGCTTGGAAATACTTTAGATCAATCGATTTTATTTTCACCTTTATAAAATAAATATAGGAATCCTAAAATTCATTATGTCATCTGAAACACAAATTCGTTAGGAAATAATGCATGAAATAATTTAATTTTTAACATGTACATAAAATCAAAATTTAAAACCAAGGTCTGGCTGGGCGCAGTGACTTCATGCCTGTAATCCCAACACTGGGAGGCCAAAGCAGGTGGATTACCTGAGGTCAGGAGTTCGATACCAGCCTGGCTAACATAGCGAGACCCCCTCGCCATCTCTACAAAAAAATGCCAAAATTAGCCTGGTGTGGTGGTGCACTCCTGTAGTCCCAGCTACTTGGGAGGCTGAGGCACAAGAATCAATAGAACACGGGAGGTGGAGACTGCAGTGAGCTGAGATTGTGCCGCCACCACACTCCAGCCTGGGTGACAGAGTGACCCTGTGTCAAAAGTAAATGAATAAATAAAAATGAAAAAATAAAAACCAGGACAGTACCTGGAGAATTTGAATGATAGAGTAATACCCTAATTATTAGTTAAAACCTACAGGTTGGGTGCAGTGGCTCACGCCTGTAATCCTAGCAGTTTGGGAGGCCGAGGCGGGTGGATCACTTGAGGTCAGGAGTTTGAGACCAGCCTGGCCAACATGGTGAAACCCTGTCTCCACTAAAAGTACAAAAATTAGCCAAGCGTGGTGGCATGCACCTGTAATCCCAGCAACTCAGGAGGCTGAGGCAGGGGAATCACTCAAACCTGGGAGGCGGAGGTTGCAGTGAGTGGAGATTGTGCCACTGCGCTCCAGCCTGGGCAGCAGAGGGAGACTGGATTTCAACAAAACAAAACAAAACAAAACAAAACAAAACAAAACAAAACAAAACAAAACAAAAAACCACAAAACACAAAACCTACAGCTGTTCAAGGACCAGCTGACAGGTCAAGTGTGGGCTTTTTTGCTCTTTGAACCCATCGTATAAAATGACAAATGCTGCAAAGTCATGAAGAACATGAACTGTAAACTAGGGTAGGCTAACTGCCCAGCCTAGATGCTTATCATGTCATAAGACAGGTGAATTTGTCACATTTATAGATTGCAATATGGGAAGTATTGAGATCAAAACAGGATTCCGTTGACCTCATTGTATTAAACTAATAAACTAATTTTTCGAATTTTTGAATTTGTGGCTTTTTAAAAAAGATAGCCGAAAACAGTGGGCTAGAGCGTCATCGGCTGTTGTTGCCTAGGGAGTGGCTTTCCCAGCACTGGCATTTTTGGATCCCAGGGCCTGAGGCTACATCAGAAGTCTCTCCGGTGTTTCTGGCAGCGGCGGAAAGGGCAGAGTCGCCGAGAAGCTGTGCACCTGCCCCTGTGCCTGCAGGCTGCATGTGACTTCAGGCATGTGGCTTGATGTTGCTTTTTTTCCCCCCTAATTTGGTCTTGCTGTCCCTCTCAGGAGAGAGTGGCTATAAACTCTAGCCCTGCCCCGATGGGGTCCTGCGGATGTGGTCTGGGTGTTTCCCATGTGCCTTCCGTGGGATCCTTCTTTGTCCTGGTAGACAGCTGATACCTAAGTGTCCAGCCTGTGGCCAGGTGCCCCTCTCATGGGAAGCCTGTTTATCCTGGCACATGCCCTTGTGGCTCTCATCTGACCTGTGACAGGTTTATTCCTACCAAGACAGCCACTCTACCAGAGAGCCCCGACCAGGGAAGAAGTATCCATGGGGTAGAAGAGGCGACTCATCAGAACCCATGAAATGACAGAAGCAGTTTATTGTTTACAGATCCAGAGAAGAGAGGGCAGCACAGTTTGCAACAGGGCCAGTAAAAAGGGGGAGTCAGGCTGGGCACAGTGGCTGACACCTGTAGTCCCCACACTTTGGGAAGCCGAGGCAGGCAGATCACCTGGCGTCAGGGATTCGAGACCATCCTGGCTAAGATGGTGAAACCCCGTTTCTACTAAAAATGCAAAAAATTAGTTGAGCGTGGTGGTGCACGCCTATAATCCCAGCTACTCAGGAGGCAGAGGCAGGAGAAGCACTTGAATCCGGGAGGCAGAGGTTGCAGTGAGCCGAGATTATACCAACTTGGGAAACAAGAGTGAAACTCGGTCTCAAAAAACAAACAACAAAGTGGGGAACCAACCAGGACACACAGGCTCAAACAGCAGGTGCAGAAGAAGAGAGAGAGGGGGAGCTGCAGGCCAAAGACTTCAGGGCCCTGGGTGTTATCTGAACACATTTCCCATGGGGGTTCTGACGGTGGGGGGATGATGAGGGCAAGCGGGCATGAGCCCCAGAGACTCACGCTGTGACTGAGAGGGGTCAGCGTGGGTGTGAGGGTCAGTGGGACAAGCCAAACAGGTGATACCCAGCTGCCCATGGGGAGGTGGTCACAGGAGGCGGTTTTATAAGGGAGATGTCTGGATAACCACCTGGAAGAGCTGGGAGGAGTTGGATAATTGGAAACTGTGTTACTAATCTCTGCTTCTGAAACAAGAAATTCCAACTTATATTCAAATAGATGCTCAGGAAACATACGATTAAAAGAATTCCCCAAACTTGACCTTCCTGGGCCTCAGTTTTTGCATCTGTCAAATGGGTACAGGGAGATCTTTTGCATAATGTTGAGAGAATTGAAGCCTGAGCAGGGTAGGTCTACTGTGGACATGTAATTGTGGAGAACAGCTGGCCAAAGCCCTTGCCTGCTGAGGGCTGCTTCCAGGAGGTCTCACTCATTCATCCGGCTTCCCAGGAAACCCTGGAGATGCGCTGGGCTTTTGCCCTGGAATGGTATCTGGTGAGCACGTAGTCAGGTAGCCAGAGTCTTCAAAATAGATGGGAGAGGAGAAAATTTGTGAGAATGAACCAAGGGTGTGGGTGTATCCTTCAAGCCGAATGTCTCGTGGCAAGCTTGGGGCCTGGGCAGCCTTCCCTCTGCTGAGTCCTTTGGTCAAATGTCATGGGCTGGGTGCGGTGGCTCACGCCTGTAATCCCAGCACTTTGGGAGGCTGAGGCAGGTGGATCACTAGATCATGAGATCAAGGCCATCCTGGCCAAGATGGTGAAACCCTGTCTCTACTAAAAATACACAAATTAGCTGCTCATAGTGACATGTGCCTGCAATCCCAGCTACTCAGGGGGCTGAGGCAGGAGAATCGCTTGAACCTGGGAGGTGGAGGTTGCAGTGAGTGGAGATCACGGCACTGCACTCCAGCCTGGGCAACAGAGGGAGACTCTGTCTCAACAAAAAAAAAAAAAAAAAGAAAAAGTCACGGTGTTCTGAACTAGTGCTGCAGATAGTATAATGTAGCCGGGCTCAGTGGCTCACGCCTGTAATCCCAGCACTTTGGGAGGCTGAAGTGGGCGGATCATGAGGTTCGGAGTTTAAGACCATCCTTGGCCAACATGGTGAAACCTAAAAATTAACTGGGTGAGGTACTGCACGCCTCTAATCCCAGCCACTCGGAAGGCTGAGGCAGGTGAATTGCTTGAATCTGGCAGGCGGAGGTTGCAGTGAGCCAAGATTGTGCCACTGCACTCCAGCTTAGGCAACAGAGCGATTCTGTCTCAAAAAAAAAAAGGGTATAATGTAAGTCACACACGTGCTTCTTTAAAAAGATTTGCTTTTCAGTGTCTATTATACGAGCAGATAAATGAAGGCAAAGAGAAAAAATGGCAACTTTAGCTTTTTTCCCCATGTATATAATTTTAAATTTTCTCATAGCCCCATGAAAAAGGAAACACACACATGAAATTAATTTTAATATACACATTAGCTCAATTTATCACGAATGTTCCATCAGCGTGTAATCAATATCAGGAATCATGACTGAGAAATTTTGTATTTTTTTTGGTCCTCTGTTTTTGACATCTGGTGTGGATTTTCTGCTTACACATATCTCAATTTGGATGCTAACTTTTCATCAGAAGCACTTGATTTGGCTGGGCATAGTGGCTCATGCCTGCAATCCCATCACTTTGAGAGGCTGAGATGGGCTGATCACTTGAGGTCAGGAGTTCAAGACCAGCTGGCTAACAAGGTGAAACCCTGTCTCCACCAAAAATACAAAAATGAGCCATGCATGGTGGCAGTCACCTGTAATCCCAGCTACCTGGGAGGCTGAGGCAGGAGAATTGCTTAAACCTGGGGAGTGGAGGTTGCAGTGAGCCTAGATGGTGCCATTGTACTCCAGCCTGAGTAACAGAGCAAGACCCTGTCTCCAAAAAAAAGTACTTGTTTAAATTTCACAAAATTTACAGTTGAGAAGAGTAGATCCACATATTTAAGTTTTTTTTATAACTGAGCCTTGTATCAAAAGTCACCTTTACAGTTCACCTCCCACATTGAAAAACTGGTTCATTTGTTTTAGAGGAATTGATTTGTCTTAGAAGAAAAAGCGTATCCATTTCGAAACTATGTCAATCTAAATTAAGTGAATTCACTGGCTTTTGCGTCACTGTCACCTCGGTGCTGACAGTATTGAGGTCAGAGGATTCGGCACACACTGAACAGAGCTCTGAGTGTGGCACAATCAACAGAGCTTTCCACAATTTTTTTCTTGTGGTTTTTTTCAGGAGAAGTTTTTATTTTTATTTTTATTTATTTTTTTGAGACGGAGTCTCGCTTTGTCCCGTGGGCTGCAGTGCAGTGGTGTAATCTTGACTCACTGCAACCTCTGCGTCCCAGGTTCAAGCAATTCCCCTGCCTCAGCCTCCCGAGTAGCTGGGATTACAGGTGCCCACTACCACTCCAGGCTAATTTTTGTATTTTTAGTAGAGACAAGGTTTCACCATGTTGGCCAGGCTGGTCTTGAACTCCTGACCTCAAGTGATCCACCTGACTTGGCCTCCCAAAGTACTGGGATTAGAAGCGTGAGCCACTGCGCCCGGCCCAGGAGTAGATTTCACAGTGCTTTAGTTTTTTAATTTAAATGAATTAAAATTAAATGAAAAATTGACCTCCCCAGGAGCACTAAGCCTGTAGCAGGATAGCCTCGCATGCAAGTCTCCACTGGTGGGAAAGATTCACGTCCCCAACTGCATCCTGTTGACTTTCCATTAATCCTGTTTGTCTCCCTTGTGACAGCTCTGCCGCTGGTTGTGAAAGAAAACAGACTCCCAGGACCTGAAGCTCAGCCTGGGAACTGTACAGCACTGCCTTCCTCTCCTTCCCAAACAGGCAGCTGCAGTGTCACAGCCCTGTGTTACAGCATCATCTGTAAGCCAGGATCCTACAGCCTTGGAAGGCCACACATCTCCCGGGAAGCCCTCTCTCCCAAAGCGCTCACGTAG